CACACACACACACACACACACACACACACACACACACACACACACACACACACACAAACATACACACACACACACACACACACACACACACACACATATATGTGTGTGTGTGTGTGTGTGTGTGTGTGTATAGTATGTATATATGAGAACACAGGAAAATCTTCGTACAAATAAAAGAAAGAAAGAAAGATGATGATGATGATGATGATAATAATGATAATAGTAATAGATGGTAATAATTACAGGAATAATAACAGAAACAATAGTATTGATAAGATAGCCATAGATAGTAAGGACAGTAACAATAATAATAATAAAAGCAATAATGATAGTAGGAGGAGGAGTAGTATTAGTGGTAGTAGTAGTAATGATGATAATAATAATAATGATAATAATAATAATAATAATAATAATAACGATAACATTATTAATAATAATAATAGAAATACTAGTATTGATAATGATATTGATGGTAATAGTAAAACTAACAATAAGAAGAAGAGAAAGAAGAATGAACGATAAAATGTAATAGAAAAAAATAAGAAACCACAAGACCGAAAGAAAATCCAGAAATGGTTCTAGGGAAACACTTTTTTCATTCATCCTTTCTTTCTTTCTTTTTTCTCTTCAGATACGCCCTCCAGTTCGCCGTGAGTGACCACGTGTGGGGTCAGCTGGGGGTCGTCGCCAATGTGACGGTGCACGTGCGCATGCTCGGGCCAGCCGTGCTCGCCCATGCCACCCCCGTGACTCTCGCGCCCACATCCCCGCCCGCGCTTACCAAAGGATGGACGCCTACTGTAAGTCCAGATGTGGGTCTGTATTAGCCAGTGCGTGTGCGTGTCCGTGTGTGTAAATTTACCACTTATGAGATACCTTTCCTTTGTTTTTTTTTTAGGTGTGTATGCCTCTTTACTTATCTTTTTCCTTCTTCGTCTTCTTCTTCTTCTTTGTCTCAATCACTTCTTTCGCCCCGTCCCTTTTCCCGAGGCAGGGCGGAGGGGGCGGCCTCGGGAGGTTTTTGGGCGCGGTGCAGGATGTGATCGGGGACGCCCACACGGTCCACGTGGTCAGCGTCTACGGATACCACGCCCACCTCCCCGAACCGACCTCGGACGCCCACGATCCCCCGAGTGACCTGCCGCTGAAGGACGCGACTTGCGTGTGGGTGTGCGCGGGCGTGAGTGGGGGCGGCTTCATGGACCCCGTCAAGCTGCAAGGGCTGCTCGCTCTCCACTCTCAGCAGGTCAGGGATCCTTGCGTGAGGGAGGGCGGGGGGGGGGGGGGGGGGGGAAGGCACGGGCGGCTCCCTCTTCCTCGCGCTTTCCCGCGTCTTTTGGTTATATTTCAATCTGTTCTAGATTTTATTTACTTCTTCTTCATATCATTCATATCTCTCTGTCTATGTCTCTCTCTCTCTCTCTCTCTCTCTCTCTCTCTCTCTCTCTCTCTCTCTCTCTCTCTCTCTCTGTCTCTCTCTCTCTCTCTCTCTGTCTCTCTCTCTCTCTCTCTCTCTCTCTCTCTCTCTCTCTCTCTCTCTCTCTCTCTCACTTTCCTTTTCTCATATTCATCTTTCCCCTTCCTCCTCTCCCTCTCTCTTACTGATTCTCCATACACTTTATTGCGAATGTTTTCACTTCTGAAACATGCTGCATACACGCTTCCAAATGAACCACAAACATGTTGGTGAACCAGCCGGTCAATACAAAGTGCTTGCACCGCCCAGGAAACGTTCGCTTTAGTGTTTCGAAACATAATCGCGGATTCGAACGTCGAACCGAGATATGTTGAACACGAATGAAAACATGGTCATGGCAGTGTTTCTACGTATTTCAAAACGAGGCATTGCATGCACGTATGAACTCGTTTACCTTAACTGCAACAGTAATATCGACCAATTAGTGAATGTCGTCCGCATACGAGGCCAAGGTCTATGAGGCCGGATATTGCTTGTGATATGTGGCATCATGTGGAAAATTGCAGTATTGTTCCATCACCCATCTTTAAACGTCTTTCGTTATATAAGAGTAGTGTTTTATCATAGATTAGCCGAAGTAGTGTTGTCAATTGTAATTTTAGATTCTTACATATGATAACTAAAGCATTAAAAAGTTAAAACTTTTGACTTTTTTGAATTAAGGAAATCATAGTTTTCCATGTTGAATATTTATAAAATTATTGTAGCATGAAATTTGACGTTGGGAAAACATATTATAATTGGGAACAATATCTCCTCGGTTGCGAACTAGCCACTTCTCAATATCAATACATAAATATAAAAGTATAAAAATAAAAGCACCAATTCCGTTTAGCCTGAAGAACCCACAGCTGTTTAGGGCATGAAACACTTGATTTTTTGTTTAATTTCTGGTATTTACAACATCGAGTAAATTGTAAAATAATTATTTATCTAGCTATACATGGTTTCGCATCACATCTTCGCTGGATTAACATGATGAAGTCATTTAGATCTATCCCATTTTCACTCCAAGCAGTCTGTGCGAGCTACTGTAAGTGTTTTCTCACTATATTTCTTCGAAAATTGTTCAATAATAAAACTGGCAAACAGTTAATCGAAAAAGAAAATTAAGTAATCCCGTTAAGATCTACAGCTGTCAACTAGGATTTTTATTTTTTGTTTTATAAGTATATGACAACAATTTACGAACATTCCTAGTTATAAGTAGCTAGTATTTATCTTCTTGAGAATAACAAAGCTTCTAATATACTCCAATTTACTCTAATATACTTCTGGACGCCACAGCTTGGTAGTATATATCATCTATTGGCGATAAAATGAGTAATTCAGTAAGAGAATTTCACCAATATTACTCACTTTTGTCAGCCATGGTGGCGATTTCTTTACTATTGTGACGTCATGAAACTACAGCAAGTTTCCCTTGGAAGTAGTTTAAAAGTGCTTGGTTACTTTTTAGCGTTTCTTCCTCCCTCCTTTTCAGTCCTTCTCCTTTTTCTTGTTCTTGTACCCATTGTCTCAATACTGATATTTTTAATACTACAGTATGTGTATGCATTTGTTTTTGATAACTTTCTCTTTATCCTCGTGTATGGAGACAGCTGGAAGCGGCCACGCAGCTGAGGGTGCTGACAGACAGCTCGCTCAGTCACCAACTGGACGTCAGTGACCCTCAGGAAACCTTGCTTGACCTGGATGTCTCCTCCGTGAACTCCCAGCCGTCACGAACTCTTCCACTTCAGGTAAGCAGAAGAGGGGAAGTGTAGAGAGGGAGTATGGCATGGACCACGTACACGTCCTCGGTGTAAGGCAAACAAAGGGCAGGAAGTTAGGTAATCTGAATGGAGGGAGTTTGGTTGGAGTGCCACTTTCGGGAAACCGGTGTCAAGGAAAACGGCGAGGGATGTGTCCAATACAGGAGGCTTCGTGTCAGCTACCCATTTCATCGTAACTTAAACGGAGAAGGATATAACTTCATCAGGACGTCTTGTGCGTGCGTGTATCTGTTACAACTCTCATCTTCCTTATCCATGAGGGAGACAGGCATTCTATTTCAGTAAATAAAAGGGTCTCCATGGCCTTGTCACTTTTCCGTATAGCTGTCAACCTGTCGCCCAATAGACCAGTTATTCCCAAAGAGCGTGGCGCAGCACACAAATGTCCCGCCATTTTCTCTTTTCTGTGCCGCGAGAATTTATAACGAGAGAGAAGAAACACACACACACACACACACACACATACACACACACACACACATACATATATACACATATATATATAATATTTAATGTTTTTTGTGTTTTAAAGTGCCTCATACTAAATACCTGGAAAACCACTGCAATATATTGTAGTTGATTATGAGCGAGCAACGAGTTCAACAATGCCCTTACAGCAGCCATCACCAGTGAATATGGCATGGGATTGACGAATTGATCAGTTCCATGCATGGCATATCTGTGAGGAAAAAGAAAATGAGTTGCAACAAATCAATTGTCATACTCCATTCATCAAAAAAAAAAAAATCAGCTGTATTCATTTGAGCTAAGGAGCCCAAAATGCCTTGATCATCTACAGCAGGAACACGGATGCCAAATACTGCTGGTGAAAGCTTGTTACTTGGAATTGGACAATTTATCGTCAAATAATGAACCAGTCCAAGTTCTATCTTAGCAAAGTATATGTGGTCTGTTGGCCTTTGCTATAGTGGGTGACACTGGCACTGTCAGTTATAGTATCTAATATACTGAATAACATCTTAACTGAAAAGTGTCATGGTTTATCATTGTATCGATTCCATGTACTGATTTTTTAGGTGCAATTATTGTCATGAGTGGAAAATTTCCTCGTGTTTTTCTCCTCTTCCAACCAGCTCGTGGACACCAACACCACGTCTTTGGTGACGCCTCGCCTCACGAGCGCCAAGGACTGTCGCGCTTACGCCCAGACGCGCTCAAGCGACTCTTGCACGCCCACCTCCTGCCTCAACGGTGGGCGCTGCCACAGAACCTCCTTCGGCAACAGGCAAGTGATTCAGAGTTTAGAGTCCTTCATGAAATCTAGTTATTTTTTCGGTAATGATGTCAAGTCAAAGTAGACTGCGTGATGGATTCTAGACGTTCGTGGCTTCCCTTGAAGCTTGCCTCTCTATTTCCTTGACCATATTTTCCTATTTTTATCTTAATTCTATTTCATAACTATGTAAGCTAACATTTCATTACCTTATTCCCATGAAGAAGACCTACCTATGTTTTACTAAATGTTGTGATTTGCTTACCGCGCATCTCATTTCATAATACCATTAATCAGTTTCAATCTAGATTTCTTTGTCTTTCCCCCCCATTTTCTCCTTTCCCTTGAAGGTTATTTACCCCTTTAGAAAAATCCCTTGAAACGTCCACCCCTTCTTGAGGTTCACCAGTTTCTTTCCTCACGTCTCCATACATTTCGTGGACGCCTCCTGCCACTCCCCAAATTCCTCACCCTTTGCGTGTGTACAACTGCATTTTCGCCCCTTTTGCCTTGGATGCGACCGAGTCACACTGCTCTTCCTTCCGCCCGCGCCCGCAGGTGCGTGTGCCCGGGTGGCGCCGTTGGCCCCAGCTGCAAGATTCTCGCCCGTACCTTCAGTGGGCGCGGGTGGGCGTGGCTGCGCCCCCTCGCGCCCTGCCTCCCCGCCACGCTCTCCCTCCGCGTCCTCACTCTGCAGTCGCACGCGCTGCTGCTCTACTCCGGCCCCCTCACGCCTTCGTCCGCACACACGCCCGCGCCCATGCTAGCCCTGCAGGTGGTGGGTGGGCGGCCGCAGTTCCTGTACGAGGGTCCGCTTGGGCGGGTCAAGGTCGAGGTGCAGTCGAGGGTGGACGACGGCGAGTGGCACGCCCTCCACCTCCGCCTCCACGCTGAGGTGACTTTTGGGCTCCCTTGTGTGTGTGGGGGGGGAGGATATATATATATATATATATATATATATATATATATATATATATATATATATATATATATATGCATATGTCAACCATCTATGTCTTGGTGCATGCGCGTGTATCTATATTTCTGGATAGTTTATCCTCCTCCTCCACCCCCAGTCCCTGACCCACAGCCTTTCCAGGGCGTGACGCTGATGCTGGACTTGTGTGGGCGCGGGTGGGAGGACAGCACCGCCCAGGATGACTCTCACTGCGCGGCGCGGGCGTCGTGGTCCGTCGAAGGACCTCTCTCTGCATGGGCGCCCTCTGACCCCCTTCAGGTGGGTGGCATGGCACATGCGCCGCCTCGCCCGCACGCCCACGGCTGGAACGAAACGCCCATCGACGAGCCTCTAAGGGGCTGTGTGTCGCACGTCGCCGCCAACGAGGAGGTACGAAGGGGGGTGTAGTTGCTGTTAAATAATGAAGATAATACTGTGGGGCTTTAATGGAAATGGTTGGTAATGTTACTGATATCCCTATCCTCGTTAGAGCTACTCCTGTACCATTATCACTAACTTTACCAGGAACGCCATAAGCATGGTGATTATTATTTTCATTAGCATTGGCCAGATACCATCATCTCTATTGTATTGTCACTGTATCATTGTTGTAACCTAAATGACCATCCAGAAGAGGAGAAAAATGGTAGAACAGGAGAAGAGAAAGAGAAAGTGAGAATATTAGAAAGAGAGAGAGAAAGAAAGAGATGGGAAGGAGGGAGGGAGAAAGAGAGAGTGAAAGAGAGAAGCAGAGTTAGACATACATAGAAAATACCAATACGAATGAAAAAGAGAGAGAGAAAAAAAATCATCGTAGCTTTTCTAATGACACATTTTTTCATTAAACAAAACTTCAATCTTTTCGAGTTTTCGAGAGAGTGTTATTACCAAGCAGGGGTGAATCCAGGACAAAAATAAAATACAAGTACATTTGATGAATGCATAATGGGATTGTCACTATTTCAACGAATTCTAAATTTCAACAAAAATCAACTGATCTTTCTTAGGTACATTTCCCATATCTTATCTTATTGGATTATTGCTAATTCTCTCTTTCTCTTTGCGTCCTACATTTTCTGTCCCATCTTTCCTTCTTCCTTTCGTCTTTCCTTATTATTGCTTTCCTCTTCCTTCCACTCCCCCTCTCCATTCACCGTTTTGCTACTTTTATCATCTGTTCCCTCTTCTTTTTTTATTTTCTCTTTATCTTTTCCCCTCCCACCCTCCACTTCTTACCCTTATCTTCTACCCCCCCTCTCTCCTTATCACCATTCCTTATCATTGCCTCTTCCCCCTTCGCCCACTTCCCCATTTTGCATTTATTAACTTTTGCATCGCTCTGCTTTTCTGTCGTTACTCGTTCATCCTTATTCGCAATTTCCTCTACTTCCCTTGTTTTCATCATTTTCCTGTCTCTCCTCCTTCCTCTACTTATATTTTCTCTTTATCTCTTCTCTCTCCTTTCTCCCTACTTTGCCTTTATTCTTTTTTATCTTCTTTCCTTTCTTCTTATTCTCGCTATTCTTCCTCATTTTTTTTACTGTTGTGCATTCCTCCCAATATCTTTCGTCCCCCTCCTCCGTCCTTTGCCCCTTCCCATCTTTATTTCCTCTTTCCCCCGCCCTCGTTCACCCCTCCCCCTCGCAGCTGCAGGACCTGGGCGCCCCCGCCGAGAGCCGCGGCAGCGAGGGCGGCTGCCGGCCTCAGGAGCGCGCGTGCCGGGAGCAGGCGAGCGAGTGCGGCCTGCGAGGGGCGTGCACGGGCGGCCTCCGTCAGCCCGAGTGTGAGTGCCTGCCTGGGTGGGCGGGGCCGGGGTGCGCCACGCCCACTCCGCCCGTCGCTTTGGGTCCCTCGTCGTACGTCAAAGTAGCGCTCTCGTTCACGCCCTCGCCCTGGTCAGTGCGCGTGCAGCTGAGGGTGAAAACGCACGGCACCCGCGACGGCCTCCTGCTGCTCCTGGCCGCCCATCACCGCCACGCCGCCCTCACGCTGCAGGTGGGTCCCAACACACACACACACACACACACACACACACACACACACACACACACACACACACACACACACACACACACACACACACACCTTTTTTTGTTTTTGTAGACTATATTTGATTATACAAAGCGCTTCAGTCGCCTTCAGCAAGCGACTGAGCTGAATTGCTGCCTTCTCGTTCATGGATTCTCAGCTGAAACAACGCCAGCTCTCCACGCGGAGTTCTGAAAGCATTCCTTGCGGGTTTTGAAATTACCGAAAAATCATACTGATAAGATCATAAGATAAGACTACTCACCGATATTATCGCTGGCCCCTCTCCTGCCCACAGCTGCGCGCGGGCGTGGTGTGCGCGTCGGTGTCCGGCGCGGGGTGGGCGGGGGCGGCGGCGGAGGCGTGCGTGGAGGGGCGTCCCCTTGGCGACGGCGAGTGGCACACCGTCAGCGCCGAACGCCACGCCCACAACCTCCTGGTGGGCGTGGACGACGGAGATGCCTGGAGAAGCAACGCCTCACTGCTCACCCTGGAGGAGGAGAAGGAGGGCGGGCCCGGCCGGAGGAGACCGCCCGCGCTGGACGTGGACAAGCAGGAGGGCGTGGCGGTGGGCGGTCTGCCGGTCTTCGAGGAGGCGGGGCTCGTCACCGTGCGCGCCGACCTCAGGGACGGTGAGTGCAGGCTCAGGAGGGAGGGAGGGACGCGAGGTGCTGGGAGCATATTTGCGTGTGCGTGTATGCGGGTACGTGCGCGCGCGTGTGTATGTGTGTGTGTGTTTGTGTTGTTTATACATGTATATACAGTTTATATTTTCTTTCTTTTCTTCGTTTTCTTTTCTTTTAGATTTCCCATGTTAGAACTGAAACGGCTTTGGCTAAAAGGTACCCGAAGGTGGGTTTATTTATTCTAAGTATGTGTGTGTGTGTGTGTGCTTTAAGCAAATAAACATATGTGTATCTATACACACACACATATATATATGTGTATATGTGTATATATATATATATATGTGTGTATGTGTGTGTGTGTGTGTGTGTGTATATATATATATATATATATATATATATATATATATATATATATATATATATATATATATATATATATATATATATATACAGAGTGAGAGAGAGAGAGAGAGAGAGAGAGAGAGAGAGAGAGAGAGAGCGAAACCCGATCCTCAGCGCAGCCCCCTTCTCCAGCATGTGTGGCCGACATCCGCGTGTGTGGCCGCCCACTGCCGGTGCCGCCCGCGTCCAATAGCAGCACGTGGGGCCAGGTGACGATGGCTGAGGGCGTGCACGGGGACTGCGCTGCCGTCGACGCCTGCGCCAACACCACCTGCGCTGCGCCACTCACCTGCGCGACCACCTGGGGGAAGCCGACTTGTAGGTGCGTAGGCTTAGGTGAGCTTATTCAGAGCTCAAGAAAGTTCTTGCTCATTGTAAGGTCTAGGAAATCTTATTCCAACTAATTCACAGAAAATAGTTAAGAAGGTCTGTGTAATTAGGTAGGCTATTGTAGCATGATGAAAGTTTATTATCGGATACAAGAAAATTATTATTATCTTATGGTATATGAACTCAGCCAGTTGGAATGATACACCAAACAGTTATTATCCTGTAGACAATCACTGTGACATGATGTAGACACAGTTTAGTAATCAGTCATGTCTTTTTCCTTTTCCCTTCTCTTTCTGTGTGTGTGTGTTTCACTTTCTCTCTCTCTTTCTCACTTCTAATGTTTCTTTCTTTCACCACCACCCTTGGCCCAACCCTAGCTGCGGCCCGGGACAGCACCTCTCGGAACGTACGTGCGTCGACGTGGACGAGTGTACGTGGGGTCCGTGCTTACATGGGGGCACCTGCTACAACACACAGCCCGGCTTCACGTGCGAGTGCGCTCCTGCCTACACGGGCCAGCATTGTCAGTGGGCTCTTGCTGACAGACCGACCGACGTTCTCGCGGCTCCTGCGGCCATCGTGGGTCTCACGATCTCTTGCCTCGTCCTAGGTCAGTGCGAATGTCCTCGGCCGGGTCAGCTGGTCCTGGGTCAATGTACCTGTTTGTACTTGTTGGTGTATTGAGTAATTGTACTTTGTGATATGTGAAGTAAAGTGATATATCGGGTCAGTGCATCTACTGGGTTAGTATATCTGTTGGTATAATTGACAGGTAAATTAGATGTATATTGGATACATATTGGATTTATACACTTGTTTTGTGAACGCATCCAATGGTATACTGAATGAATATATATACTGGCACACGAAGTAACTGTGCACACGGGTATTCTGGGCAATGATATCCCTATTGACCCAAAGACATTCCAGTCTCGAACTATTGTCAACTAAATAAACAAGATGAATAGGAAAGGGAATGGCATAACACGAGAGATAGACCAGAGCGCCTCTGTTCCGCCAGTGGTGCTGTGCCTGTTGCTCTCCCTCCGCTGCCGACGCCTCCTCACGTCCAAGCTGCTGCAGAAGAGGCGGGAGGCGGCGGCGAGGGCGGCGAAGGGCGGCGGGGCGGCGTGCAAGGCCAGGGTCATTTCCGACATCACGGGCGAGACGCTGGCGGACGAAGGGGAGACGGCGATGGGCGTGCTCAGCTGCAAGGAGGCGGCGGGGGAGGACGGGGTGGGCGGGGGAGGGCGGAGGGGGAGTGGGCGGAGGGGGGGCAGCGGGGGGGGGAAGGAAGAGAGTCCAGCAAGTAAGGCGTGCGAGCGGGTCAGGTTTCGACTGCCGCACGTCACGCTGGACGAGAGAGGTAAGTGTGGGAGGGAGGGAGAGTGAGAGAGAGAGAGAGAGGGGGAAGAGAGAGAGAGAGGGGGGGGAAGAGAGAGAGATAGAGTAAGAGAGAGAGAGAGGGGGGGGGGTGAGAGAGAGGGGGGGGAAGAGATAGAGAGAGTAAGAGAGAGAGAGAGAGAGAGGGGGGGTGAGAGAGAGAGAGGGGGGGGAAGAGATAGAGAGAGTAAGAGAGAGAGAGAGAGAGAGAGAGGGGGGGGTGAGAGAGAGAGAAAGAGGGGGGGAGAGGGGGGGAAGAGAGAGAGAGAGGGGGGGGGGAGAGAGAGAGAGAGATAGAGAGAGTAAGAGAGAGAGAGAGAGAGAGGGGGGTGAGAGAGAGAGAGAGAGAGGGGGGTGAGAGAGAGAGAGAGGGGGGAGAGAGAGAGAGATAGAGAGAGTAAGAGAGAGAGAGAGAGGGGGGGGATGAGAGAGAGAGAGAGGGGGGGTGAGAGAGAGAGAGAGAGAGGTTCATAGTCATAGTGGAATAGCATCATAGTGACTTCATTTTACATATTCATGGTCAAATAATTATATTTAAAAATCCAATACTTAAATTAAAAATAAAATACTGTAAAAGAAATAGAAAAAAAATCTTTACTCCTCCCTCAAGAAGTACAATCGACGTCCCTTACATCCGAGGTCAAAGGTGACAGAGAGGTCAGCACGACCCCCGCGACGACCTCCTCGCCTCGCCTGGTGCGGACGGGGCCCAGGCACGACCACCTGATGCCTAACGACGACCTCCGCGCCTACGCTTACGAGGGCGATGGGTCGTCCTCCGGCTCCCTCACCTCCACCATCTCCCGTCAGTTGGAACTCGGGCCTTTATGGTCGTTATTGTTGTCGTTTCTTTAGTATTACCATTATTGTTATTGTCATTATCATTTCTTTAGCATTATCATTGTTGTCATTATCATTTCTTTAGTATTATCATTATTGTTATTGTCATTATCATTTCTTTAGCATTGTCATTATTGTTATTGTTGTCGGTTCTTTAGTATTATCATTAATGTTATTGTCATTATCATTTCTTTAGCATTATCATTGTTGTCATTATCATTTCTTTAGTATTATCATTATTGTTATTGTCATTATCATTTCTATAGTATTATCATTATTGTTATTGTCATTATCATTGTGGTTATTGTTATTGCAAATGTTGTTATTGTTACTATTATTATTATTTCCATAATATTGTCATTACTGTCATTGTTGTTATTGTTATTATCATTGTTGTTACTCTTATTGTTATTTTTACTATCACTGTTATTATTTCCTTAATATTACCATTATTGTTATTGTTATCATAATTGTTGTTACTGTTATTGTTATTATTTTATCATTGTTGTTATTATTTTATTATTATTGTTCTTATTTTAATCATTGTAGTTATTGTTATTGGTATCATTTCATTAGTGTAACTGTTGTTGTTATTATTATTATTATCCTTATTACTATTATAAGGTTTGTTTTTGTTGTGGTTGTTTTTGTTATTATCATTATTGTCATTGCCCTTATAGATATCATTATTATCATTATTATTATTATTATTATTATTATTATTATTATTGTTATCGTTATTATTATTATCATTATTACTAGTAGTAGTATTACTGTTATTATTATTAGTGGTAGTGGTAGCAGTAGTAATAGTAGTAGAAATAGTAGTGCCAGTAGTATAGTGGTAGTGGTAGTACCAGTAGCTATAGTGGTAATGGTAGTTGTAGTAGTAATAATAACAGTAGTAGTGGTAGTAGTAATAGTAATAGTAATAGTAGTTGCTAAGAGGACTTGCTCATATAGCTTTTATTTGTTGTTGTTGTTGTCATTTTGCCCTAACATCTCCATCCACCCCCCCCCCCTCAGGCCTGCGCTTGGAAGACTCCGACGAGGGCGACATCAGGCCCCTAGTCCCCGAGTTCTTCGAAGTGATGGACCTCCTAAGGAACCTCCCAGAGGCCACCAGCACCTTAAAACAGCGACGGAAGCCTTCCTCCCCCGTGGGCGAGACTCAACCCACAGAGACCACGATAACAACAACAACAACAACAGCAACGACGGCGACAATAACAACGGGAAAGAGAAGCTTGTCTCCCCCCCCCGGCCTTCCCCTGGGCGAGACGACGAGAGGGTCCTCCGGTTCTTGTAGTCCGGGGTCTCCTGCCAGCACTGTGGTGGAGAACGAGCTCAGCACCCTCTGCTGAGGCTCGCACGTCGGGAAGGCGGGGTCTGTGAAGATAGAACGTTTCTTCTTCTTCTTCTTCTTCTTCTTCTGTTGTTT